CTCCCCCTCTCCCACCCTACTCCCATCATGATGATAACGGACCAACCCCCTGAAACTCTAAGCAACCCTCCAATGAGATGCTTTCTTTGCAAGAGTTGCCGTGATCACGGCGTCCCTTCGCAGCAGCAGCGCTTCGCAGCGCAGCGCTAGAACACTGACAAAGACAGTACAGTGATGCGTCTCTGCCGCGTCAGCTAAGGTCAGAACCAGGTCCCTAACGGACAGAAGGAGCAGGAGGGGGACTCAGGTCCAGCATGTGCACATCCAGGCTTCTTAGCTGACATGGCTAACATGCCACATATTGGATCTGATCGTGTAACCTCCGCTGCGTAAAGCTGAGGAAGGATTTAAAAATCAGACATCTCAAGGTGTTCTTTCCAGTTTCAAAGAAAGGGTTTATTTGCCCGACATTCATTCCGATGTCAGCCGGGGACTGAAATTGCTCTGTGGCATTATGAAATTCCTAGAAAAAACCTGCCCCGTCGGCTGATCTTACAACGGTTTCTTGCTCCCATCTACCCTGGTTCACCTTTGCTCTCACCAAATGCAAACATCAGGTCTTCGACCCTTGTCCTTATTCCCGCTCAAAATGTGCTGAGCTGCGTGGGACCTGGAAGGTCCTCCCTGCTGGGTGCCAGGTTTGAGAATGGTGCCCCAGGCAGCTGCAGGGCTGAACCGCTAGCCTGGCCTTCCTCACGCCTGACTAGCAGGGGCCTTTCCCACGGGCTCAAAGTCCTTGGCGTGGGCTCAACCGCTCAACTGTCTACTCTGACTCACACACACAGAGGCCCTGGGGCCCTTGGTTGCACTAGGGACAAAGGTGACTTTAGCAATCCATTATTGAACGTCAGATAACGGGCTGACTCTCACTGCAATGAGAATTTCCTTAATAAAAAACGGAATACTCTGTAGAATAAGTTATTCATAGTAACGGACGTTGAGGTAGTTGTTAATAAGTAAACGGCCTTTGGTCATAAATTTGAAATACTATCTGACAAAATGTCCAACACAGTATCTTAGAGGATTTCAGGCCACACACCTTTGCCTTCAGGAGTCTACAGGATTTGAGGAACGTGGTTTTCACAATGATATTGCCTGTCTGACACAACCTCACCCCACACGAAATGGTCTCACAACCAGCCGACTCCTGATGTCCTAGTAACTCAGAATGCTGGCGTCTGAAACCCAGCCCTTCCTGGGAGATTGTTCATTTCAGTCCCCTCGTTCTGCAGGGATCCTCCACAGAGGGAGGAGGCCATGGAGTGTGGGGGTGGGGGTGAGGGGAGGTAGGGAGGTGGGGTGGAGGGTGCGGGGGTGGGGGGTTCACACGGGCACTGGCGCCATCTGCCTTTTCTCCTACAAGTACACTCAGCACATTTTCAGAAACAAGAGCAGATCAGTCACCCAAAACTGTGTTGCCTAAATAAAATTCTTTTTGTGCTATAGAATAATACACACACACACACACACACACACACACACAGAGAGAGAGAGAGAGAGAGAGAGAGAGAGAGAGAGAGAAAGAGAGAGAGAACCTGGTAGAACAAAGAAGAAAAGGGAACTCACCTCTAATACTTTCTCCAAAGAACGCTACTGTTAGAACCTTGACATACCCCCCCTTTCCCTCCCTCCTTCCCTCTTTTTCTCTCTCTACATATGGGTGGTACATAAAACCACAACACAAGCCTCCTGGCATCTGGTTCCACTCTCTCTGTACCTGCCCCACTATGGCCCAGATCAGTCTGGTCATGTCCGCTCCGGACTCTCCCAGATGTCCCTGCCTTTAACTGTGCGTCCCCACAATATCTATAGTAAATTTCCTCCTCCAACATACCTAGGAACAGGCATGTCCTTTCCTTTCCTTTCTTATTCTCTCTCGTTCTCTCTCTTTCTTTCTTTTTTCATTTATCTGGTGCCAAAACCTGACCATGGCGTAAAAGAGTTCTCTTTCCAGGAAACTCACTGTTCTGAACCAAGCTGCTGATCCGACCCTCCGAAGTGTGTATGGATCATTTGCTTCTGCTGGCTTTCACCACCCACCAGATTAGACTCTGGGGTCCACCTCTTTAGCTGCTTCCTCCCCCCCCCCCCGCCCTTACTAAGCACCCATCTTTCGTTGTCTACTCAGAAAGTGCCCTCTCTTCCAGCACTTCCCCTTTTGGGTCACTCACCATGTGGTCATCTCCCTTTTGTGCCCTTTTTAGGACGCCTGCCTTGTGGGCATCTCCCTATTGTTAAGTCTGGACCATAGCCCCAGCTCCTGGCATCCATCCCAGCCCCCCTGGCCTGGGGGTTGCTTTGGTCTGGACTCCAAATCCCAGCATGCCAGGTCCTGACCCCTCCCCCAGGAAGGGGCCAGGACCACTCCCACAGGGTATTTAAGTGGGCTCCCAGAGGAGAAACGCGTGGTTCCAGGTTTGCATGTGCTCCTTCCTCACTTTCCGGTCTCCCACGTTTTATTAAGTAGTGGCGCTCTCGGGTGACTGAGCACATGACAGGGAGACAGAAAAGTAGGGAGCACATGCAAATGTGGAACTATGTGTTCCTTCTCTGGGAGCCATTTAAATACCCTGTGGGAGTGGCATGTCCCCCCTGTGGGGCGTGCTGGGATTTGGAGTCCAGACCAATGCAACTCCCAGGCCAGGGGCTGGGGTTACGTTCCCGACTAACTACTATTGTCATAGTCATAGCTCACGATTTTAAATTCCCCTTGGTTGCCTTCTAAGTATAGACTTAAAAGTGCTTCTCACTATGCTAAAAACCTGTCTAGGGCTGGAGAGATGGCTCAGTGGTTAAGAGCACTGACTGCTCTTCCAGAGGTCCCGAGTTCAATTCCCAGCAACCACATGGTGGCTCACAACCATCTGTAATGAGATCTGGCGCCCTCTTCTGGCGCACGGGCATACATGGAGGCAGAATGTTGTATATATAATAAAATAAATAAATAAATAAATCTAAAAACAAAAACACCTGTCTAATCTATTTACACCTAGTCTTCTGGGGTAAAAGTGTTCATGCTTTTAGCCCAGAATCGTTTTTTTGGTCCCCAAGCTTCTACTAAGACTCAAAGGCATGAGTCTACTGCCTTTTCTAAGATGTGGATTTCAGTACAGACTACAAACTGTGATAATGCTAACATACCTAAAACTTTTACCTCTTTTCATCAGCTTAAAAAAATTCTTGTGAGCTTCAGGGAATTGATTTTGGATCTACCTTTAACAGGTCAAATGTACTCCAGTTAAGTGCCGTCAATCAACAGCCCGTTTCCATTCCTTCCTACTCCTGAGGGTCGGATAATTTCCCCTTGCCCTGGTCTTGGGAATCCCCTCCCCCAGCTACCAGGACCTCGGGTCTAAAAGTATCAATATACACCCAAGAAAAAATTTCCCCTAAAGTCCTCAGCTTTACCTTCTGCCCATAAAATACATCCGTCCCAGCAGATTTCCATCAGTTAAAAACTGCAAACTACTCCGACAGCTGCCTGCACTTCCCTAGCCCCAGATGGTCCCGCAGAGCCCGGACAGTGAGCGACACGGCCTGCTCTTCCCGGACTTGGCCAATACTCCAGCTTTGGGGCGCCCCGCGATGTCCCAGTGTCAGCAGGAAGTACTCATAGACATTGCCCAGTAACATTTATTTGTTATCACCAGAAGGCTGGGCTGTTAGGTCTCAACGCTGGAACAAATGGCGGAGGTGCCTCTTTAACATAGCTAAGCTGGACCTGGCTACCAGGTTCTCCCAGCATCCTTCAGTCCTACCGATTAGAGGGTGTGGCTTACATATTCCACCCTCTACCCCGGACTCTCCAGCCCAGGGCTGCGCTGCCTTTTCCCCAGAGGCTCTTCCCTATGTAATCCAGACATCTTGATTAGCTTTCCTTTTTGACCTTTGGCTTCCTGGCTGCGGCTCTTGGTTCCCCTGTCTCTGCTCCCCTCCACCCCCCAACATGGCCCAGCTCAGTCTGGTGGTGTCTACTCTGGGCTTCCCCAGATCTCCCTGCCTCTGACGATGCCCTCTCACGTATCCATAATGAACGTTCGCCTCCACCACAGAAAATAAAACAAAGCAAAAACAAACCACAGGGTTTTGTAGCTCGTTTCCCACTTAACCTACATTACATTTCCCCTTTCTTTTCTTTCTTTCATGTACTTATATACATGAAAGCAAAACATTCATATACATAGAATAAGTGAATGAATCTTAAGAAATTATGTACTACTTAAAAATTAATTTAAATAAAAATGCATCCACACTGAAAAAAAAAAAGACAGAGCAAAACGGAACACTGCCTGTCTTCCAGGGGCCGGTCCCTTCATTTTCACTTAATAACAGGACTCCCTCCCAGCCCAGTGTTAGAGTTTACGATGTTTCGCTGTGGTATCGACACAGGTCACATTTCCAGCCTCCTTTGGAAGTGGGTAAGAGAGACAGAGGAGTTCAGGTCAAAGCAACCTGAGGAGGAATGAGGTCTGAATTCCAGGAGTCATTGCCTGAGGCTCATTGTAATATACTTGGAATCCCAATTTCTTGTGACTGTGGCTGAGTGTGTGGACCAACTGGCCAGGGAACCCTGGGTCTTCTGCGGGTGGTTAGGCTGGTCCAGGTCATTAAGCCCCACCTCCACCCGGAGGGCCTGCCCATCTTTCGATATCGCAAGAGTCGTCTCCTGTGTTGAAGTCACTTTTCAACAGGGGTTGGTCTGTGTATGCTGTGCATGACAGGGTGCCTGTGTGTGGAAGAGATGCACGGTCTGGTAGGGTTGGTTCTCTCCCGTTCCCTGATGGAGTTCAGGGATTGAACTGGATTTAGCAAGGTTTCTACTGCTGTGCAGAGACACCATGACCATGGAAACTCTTACAAGGGAAAACATTCCATTGGGGTTATATAGTGCATAGGTTCATAGGTTCAGTCCTCTATCATCACAAAAGGACAAGGCAGCTTGCAGGCAGACGTGGGTGCTGGGGAAGGAGCTGAGAGTCCTGTATCTTACAGGCACCAGGAAGTCGACTGAGACACTGGGTGGTATCCTGAGCATAGGGACCCTCAAAGCCCGCCCCCATGGTGACGCACTTCCTCCAACGAGGCCACACCCACTCCAACAAAGCCACACCTCCTAATAGTGCCAGTCCCTATGAGATTATGGGGACCGATTACATTCAAGCTACCACAGAACTCAAATTGCTAGGCTTAGCAGCAGGTTCCTTTACTTCCAAGCCACCCGAATAACCAGCTCAACTGTTGCTGGACCAGTTTATAACTAGTTATTTACTAATTAACTGTTATTAACTAGTTATTTACTAATTAACAAACAACATGGAAGAATGCTGCTGCTGACTAACGTTGCACACTTAATTTCCCCCGACTTTCTAATTATGAAATATTTCAAGTGTGTGGAAAATTTGAAGGAGACTACTAAGTGCCCATCACCTAATTAAATATTTGTTGTTTCATAGGCGCGTGTAAGCTTTGGAACATCAAAACCGATTGATAAACTACATTTTTTTTTTATTATAGCTGATGGCCTTTTAGTTGGAGAAAATACAGGACCATTTGGCTTTTCGGGTTTTTTTTTTCCCCAGTCTCTTTATACCATTAGCAGGATTTAATGATTGGTGTTGAAAGAAAAACGTTCCTGTGAAAACAATTATAACCTCTTATATTGCCAGTCACGACACCAGACACATTTAGATATGTTTTCAAAGCAGCCGCTGAAAGCCCTGTGGTGTGGGCTGATGTCATTCATAGTTTATAAAAGAAATGGAGACATGCAGAGGAAATAGTGCTGTCTGTCCCTCTTACTTCAAGCCCTCGTGTGTGTGTGTGTGTGTGTGTGTGTGTATGTGTGTGTGTGTGTGTGTGTGTGTGTGTGCATGGTGTGTTGTCAGCTCTGGAGACTACTGTGGATGGGAGCTCTCTTATGAGTCTGTAGAAACCAAATACTTTTAAAGATTTTTTATTATCATTTCAAAATTATGTCTCTGTAGCCCGGCAGTGGTGGTGCATGCCTTTCAACTCAGCACTCAGGAGGCAGAAGCAGGCGGATTCCTCTGAGTTCAAGGCTAGTCTGGTCTACAGAGCAAGTTCCAGGACAGCCAGGGCGACAAAAAGAAACCCTAGAAAAACGAAGCAAACCAAAGCAAATCATGTCCCTGTGTCCGTGTGTGCAGGGGTTTGCAGAGTCCAGAAGAATGGGCCAGAGTTCATGTTGTTTACATGTATGTGGTTATGAGCTGTCCAAAGCAGTGCTGGGAACTGAACCCGGGATCTTCTGGAAAAACCCAGTACTCTTAACCACTGAGACATCTCCCCAGTCCCAGAAACCAAGTAGTTTTAAGTCACTGTTCTCTGGCAGGGGAGAGCAAATGTGTGGACCGACTGAGAACCTGCTACCCCAGTAGCAGTGAAGTATAGGCCGTTCTGTGGCAGAAGAACCAGGCAGTCGGAGAGCGCTCCCTGCGCCTGCTCTTATTAACTGCCTGCAGCGCAAAATGGTCCTTAGGACAATGCTCATTCCGACAGCATATTTGAATAGTTCCGGAACTGCCATGTGGCTGGAGTCAGGCACACATCTTTTCTTTTTAAAAACAATAAAAAATTTACTTTATTATTAATTATTGTACGTGAGTGGATCTGTGTGTGAGTGCAGGCACATCCATGCCAATGGTGCATGTGTGTGCAAGTGTGCGTGGGTGTATGCATGTGTGCACGCGATCATGTGTATGTGTGCGCGCGCATGTGTGTGCGTGTGTGTGCATGTGTGTGTACACATGTGTGTATGTGTGTGTATGCGCATGCATGTGTCAGGACAGTTCTTGGGAGTCAGTTTTCTCCTTCTACAATGGGGTCTGGGGAAACAGTCAATTTCTTTTTTACATTCCCCTTTAGGAGGCTCTTTCTGTGTTGAGTCTGCACAAACTAATCTGTACCCATATTTACAACGATAGAGAGAGTTTAGGGGTTAAACACTTTACTATCATGTCTTATTTGTAAAGTCAAAATTGGTGAATTTTACTTACTTCTGGGGTCTGGGCAGCTGAACTCCACACAACTGGCCTTTGGAGAAATACGACCTGCTTTGTAGCCAAATTCCCTTCACTGAAAGTTAAAACAGCAAGATTGATATTTGTGAATTAGGATTTTCTTTTAATCCCAGAGAGCTTTCAATTAGTTTTTAAAGTTAAGAAACCAACAAATGGATTTCTATGGCATTTCCACACACATGGGTCATTATACTTGTCCCAGCGAATTAGTAGTGTTCTCTAGATTTAACATCTGACTAGGCTGGCCCATATATATCTTTTGTAGGATAACCTTCTGATCCCCAAATAATTAAGAAAATGATTCTATTTAAATTACATTGGAAAAACAAACAGAAAAACATTTCTATTAAAAAATTAATTAAGAACTGGAAAGATGGTCCAGCCATTAAAGATTAGGCTCACAACCAAAAATATAAAAAATTAAAGGGGCTGGAGAGATGACTCAGGGGTTAAGAGCACTGCCTACTCTTCCAGAGGTCCTGAGTTCAATTCCCAGCAACCACAAGTTGGCTTACAACCTTCTGTCATGATACCTGGTGCCCTCTTCTGACATGCAGGCAATGCAGGCAGAACACTATACATAATAAATAAATCTTTAAAACGAAACAAAAACATCCATTTACATAAAAATAAAGAAAAACTTAGCCAGGCATGATGATACACACCTTTAATCCCAACACTTGGAATACAGAGGTAGATGGATCTCTGTGAGTTCAAGACCAGCCTGGTCTACAAAGCGAGTTCCAGGACAGAAACTCTGCCTTGAAAAAGCCAAAACCAAACCAAAACAACAACAATAACAAAAACCCCCACACCCCTAAATTCTAAAAAGTATTAACTAACTAACTAACTAATTAATTAAAGGAGGGTGTTGGAAACATCACTCAGTGGTTAAGAGCACTGGATGCTCTTCCAGAGGACCTGGGTTCAGTTCCCAGCACCCCCATGGTGGCTGCTACCGCCTGTCACTCCAGGTTCAGGGCATCCAGTGCCCCCTTTCAGTCCCCATTGGCATCAGGCACGCACACGGTGCACAGACAAACGTGCCGGCAAAACATTCAGACACATACGCGTTAAATCAGAAGCAGAGCGTTGTTGACTCAGGGATCAGAATGGGAACTGCTTGGGCTGGCGCGAGGGCTGAGTGGTTAAGAACAGGGCTGCTTTTCCAGAGGTTCAATTCCCCAAATTGACAAGACGGCTTCCAGCTGCCTATAACTCCAGTCCCAGAGATCTGATGCCCTCTTCTGGCCTCCGAGGGCATGCGTCTACGTGACGCACATCACGTGCGTCAGGGCAAACACTCGCGCGCCTTAAAATAAACCTACAGGGATTTTCCAAAGGAGCTCTTGCAGAGGACCCGAGCTCATTTCTCAGAACCCACATCAGGTGGCTAAATCACGTGTACCTCCAGCCCGTGGGAACTCTGATGTCGTCTTCTCTCCTCCGTGGGCACGTGCACACAGGTGGCATTCATTCACACACACACACACACACACACACACGTATGTATGTATGTATGTATATATATGTATATATATATATATATATATATAACTGACTACTTAAAAACCCTCTTAAGCAATACAGTTATTAGAAAAGAAACCCCGCTTTAGATTATAATCTCACCAGGTGAGCAAAATTATTTTCCTTTTCCTTTTCCCTCTCTAGCACTTCCTAGCATCTGCATTGTTTGCGTACCTGTGAGAGCCCTGTATTTACATGCCCTCGTGTGTATGGTGATGGGACTTCTATTGGATGCCTAAGATCTTCAAAGAATGAAGGCACCAGGATGTACTATACTATTTTCCTTTAAGTTTTGGACAATTAGTTTCCTGCGAGTTCTAAATCATGCTGTTATAAATGTATATATAACATACATAAATTTATTTTTACACATATAAATTATATATATATTTATATAATATAAATAAATGCATATATATTACATTTATAACACCATGATTTAGAACTCACAGGAAATATATACACACACATATATGTATATATACACACACATACACACACATATACACAAACACACACACACACACACACACACACACACACACATATATATATACTTTTTATGAATTACTTCCTTAAGATAAAGTCTCAGGAATGAGATGATTAGGTCAGAAAGTATGACTTCAGTCTCTTGGTGTGCATTTGTCAAACTGGAGACTAAATTTGGGAGCCACATGTGGGGAACTGATCCGTATTTTCCACCGAGACAGTTCAGCCACAGCCGGCTCCCGGCAGTTCAGACGCCCCTTTGTAGTCAGCCGCTCAGGATTCTTATTTCGCTGTCAGCACGGCAAATGGTCCCTCGCCGAAGCCGACTCAGGGCGGCAATTCCTCTGAAATGCTTCCAGGCTCCGTGGGTTTGTGGGGAGGAGTGTTCGCAGTTAAAGCTGCCCGGAAACAACTTTTATTATGCAAAGAACCCCAACAAAACCTTTCTCTTAGCTGCCTTTGATTCCTGCTCCTTTTCTGGAAAGTGGGCACAGGGACGCTTTGGCTCTACGAGGGCGTGCAGTCAACCGGACACTAGCAGAGCGTCCAAACTACGGGCCGCTAATTTGGGGAAATGAATCGTTCCCCGAAGTGCTCGGAGGAGACTGTCACACTTATTATTCATTTAAAAAAATATTTATTTTATGTGCATTGGTGGTTTTCAACAGGAAACGAGAAGTTACAGAGTTGTGAGCCAGCACGTGTCTGCTGGGGATTGAACTCAGGACCTCTGGAAGAGCAGCCAGTGCTCTTAACCGCTGAGCCATCTCTCCAGCCCTCCAATTTTAATTTTAGAAGACTTTTTATAGTGCCGTTTCATTTCTGTTTGATCTATCAGAGCAGAACACTCTGGATGATGTAATGTTGGGGGATAAATCGTGAGGCGGTTCCCTTACTGGGAAGGGTTAGCGTGTAGAATGGGCTGGGCCTGTGTTTGGGAGTCCCGGGGTTCACTGGAAAAGCCAGGACTCGGGAACCAGACCCGATCACTGTCACAGGACCCAAGGCTCATGGCCTTTGTCTTCTCCACTGTTACTGAAGGCCTGGGAAGGACAAGGAGTCTCCCTGTGTTGGGGGAGATTATTTTCAGGTGTGCGGCTTTTGTTTATGATGCATTTGTTTAAGTCTGTGAAGCTGTGATTCTTTGCCCGTCTAAAGCACCTGATGGTCTAATAAAGAACAGAACGGTCAATAGTGAGGCAGGAGAAAGGAGAGGCAGGGCCGGCAGGCAGAGAGTATAAATAGAGGGGAGAGAGAGAGAGAGAGAGAGAGAGAGAGAGAGAGAGAGAGAGAGA